ACCCAAGTGGAGGCGAAGATCTTCTTGTCATTGCCTCAGTCCCATCCTTGAAACTACAGTCTGTAAAGAGGAAAGAAGGAGACACTCTAAGCAGAACAGGAGGAGAGAACTGCCTTCTACTGAGCTCATTCACAGTACCGTCTTAAGCATATGCGGTACCAGGGTGCAAAGATCCACCCAGCGCCCCTAGGTTGCCCATAGTTGTTGACCTTTTTAAGGGGAGGAACCCCAATGTTGTTGGCTCTTTTAAGGAAATAGTTGTTAACCTTTAGAACCTTTAGAACAGTTGTGGGACACAGGGACTCACAGCGCCAATCAAAAGGAGTGCCAGCGTCCCACGCACAGGGGCGTACGAAGGGGGGGTGCGGGTTCCATGCTGGGGGAGACAAAATGTTGGGCAGCACGCACAGTCGCCACACTGTCTGCCTGCTGCCTCCCCCCCCCCCCCCCGCATGGCGGTTAACTGTTTCGGCTGCGCGCGCAGCACCCGGAGCGCTGTGTATCGTTGTGGGCACTGTGCGATGCATCCTGTTATGTGCACCAAGCTGTGGGTTCATCTGCTGGCTTTTCTGCTGTCAGCGCATGCTCCCAGCGCCGTCCAACGTGAGGTGCCAGTGCAGAACGATGGGGAATGCAAGTGGCATTGGAGGCAACAGCTCCGGACAGATAGCCTGTCATATATCCGGACATATAGCCTGTCAGCCAGCCTGTCAGATATCTCCTGTCAAGCCTCTTAATATGCAAAAAGTTTACTTAAGGGGCTTATCTGAGACACGTGTAGACCCAGAGTTCCTGGTCCCAGCCTCTCTTCGGCCTGTAACAGTTAAAACTCACTCTCCCGTGAGAAGGGACAGCCCAGTGAAGAGTTGGCCCAACAACCAAAAATTGTTGGCTCCAAGTTGAAAATAGAAAATGGAGTGGTAGAGGGAGAATGGAGAATGAATCCTAAAATAAAGCTACCATTTTTCAAGATGATGTGTTTGTGTGTGAGAGAATTATGCGGCCAGCATCATTTGGGGTTTTTATTCTCTCTGCTTCCACTGAACTACAGAATACAGAAACCGTTATATATTACAATGGGGAGAAGGAAGCGCAAAAGCAGGTTATTCATCCTTACCACAGCTGCGGCTGACTCTGCCAAGGGGCCGTTATACATTTGCTCGGGCAGCAAATGCAGCAGTTTGTGGTAGTCAATTGATCCAAAGACCTCCTGTCACAGTTACTGTGAACTGAAAAACAAGAGCAGCTGTCCTATCCATTGGCTCAGGGATAGCTAATTATTGCACTAAATGAGCCATTTTCTTCTCTGGGCAGCGGTGCTTGGGCCAGAAAGGTGGTGTGCTTCAGAACCTGACCCTTTCACCAGTCAGGCTCCATAATGAACTTTTTTTGTTTGCTGTCATGTCACAGAAAGAGGAATGTGGCTGGTGAATATTCTTGGTCTTCTCCTTGGGCTTGGTCTTCCCTGGTTTCCTGCACTCCAGAAGGACCCCCACTGTGATCTGGATCAGGGACCCTGTAGTACTACCAATTTGCTGTTGGAGGAAATACTATTCCTGACCAAAGTGGGAAAATGAGCAATAATTTCACCTTGTTGCCCTGTGGAGGAGAGAGGGCAGTCAACAATATAATAATAATAATAATAATAATAATAATAATAATAATAATAATAATAATAATAATAATGGTTATTGTACCCATGCGGGAGCCCCAAAAAACTCTGCCTGTTTCCACAAGGCAGAAAATCAGCTGGGGATCCCGAAGGAGGAAGTGATTTGGAGACAGCTTCCTGATGGGTGTGTGGGTGTGTGTGGTGTGGGACTTCCACAGCTACCTGGCTGTCTGTCCCAGCTCTCCACAAAATCAGATAGTAGCCCAAAGGTTTCTAGTTTATAGCATTAATTGTACAGGGAGCAGGTGCATCAGTTTCATAAGGCACAGTTGCTGTACCCACAGGAAGTTGGAGCAACCGCAAATTCCCACAAACAGGTATTTAAGTCCTGGTGTCCAGCAGATGATGTTTGGCCAGATGTTCACTTCTATGCACCAGCTGATCTAAGTGCTCCTTCCTTCTGCAACTCCTCCTAGATAAGGTAGGCTGGTGATGGCGGTGGGGCTCTGAAAGCTTGGGTGGCACCAGAGACTCCAGCTACTTCTCTTCCCTTGGCTGGTCAACCTTCCCCTCTTGCTCTCATTGCACTGGCCCCTTCCCTTGCTAGAGAGTGTGTAGGGGGGTTACTGAAAGGGGAGTACTCCTGACAGGCAGCACCAATTTGCAGAACCCACTGGACCCTTCTCCTGGATTGTATTGTAATTTGGAATATAATGTGTTTTTTATTGGATTATTAAATTGGAAAACTCAATAAAATATTATGAAAAAAATGTTATAATACATCATAATTTTCAGTATGTCTAGAACACATCTTCTGATCTGCCAGTGCAAATTTAGCTATCAGTTGTGTAATGTATACCAGCTGGAAGTTCCATTACCACTTAGTGATCAGAGTACAATTGAAGAACAGATGACAAATGAACCTTTAATTATCATTATCACCAGCATAGCCTTAATGAATACAAAGTAAAGCATTAATATGTACAGGGGGATAAGATGCCCCAAACTGCTTGCTGGGTGTCCTCACCCTGAACTTTTTAGGCTGGTTACAGGGCAGCCAAGCAGAGCTTTTCTTATGTTGCAAGTGTTACCGGAAAAATCTGAGGGCTCCCTTGGACAAAAAGCAAAGACACCAACCAGAGTAAATTGAAGCAAATCAGCAGCCTGTAGGCTTGGTCTTTATTGAAGAAAGACTGTCGCGACAGGGTGCTCCCACCACTTGCAGCTGACAGGAAAGACCCAGAAAGATGGTGTGCAAGACCTTATAAAAACTTTTGAAATTCCCATCCTCTAGGTCAAGCCCACCCCCCAGAGACATCATGCATACATTACAGAAAGGAGGGGTTGAGGGAGGAGTTGTGGTGGTAACCTGAGTGTCCTGTCACCTGGCTGGTTCCTCCTTTCCCCCTCCCCATGAGTCATTTTCTAAGACAAAAGGTAGTTGCAGTTTCCTGCCCCCTGAGGGAAGATCCGATCATTGTCCTTTGTTCCAGTCCATACTGAATCCACTCCCATATGCAAGTTCTTTGTGATCTTGATTGTCTTCTGTCTGGGATCATCAGGGTTGGCATAGCAACTGGGCAGGGCTCCTGTAGATGTGCTGGTATGGTGAAGGGATTATGGCTGACCAGAACCAAGCCACCCCCCTTTGATAGTCCTTGTCATATGGAGTAAAATAAAAATGGAACAGTGCAAATCCGATGTATGGTTGATTATTCTATGAATTTATAACAGAAGTGTGGCGTATGTAGTGTGTGAGTGTGTGTGAAGTTTGTACAAACAGAATGATTGGGGGTGGGTGGGTTCCTGCTACAGAAGTGATTATAAAGCCATGCACACCTCCAAGCATCTGTCCCAAACACTTTCCAGTTTTCTGCCATGCTTATTATTATTATTGGATCTTAAGCATGTAGTTTTGGTCAAACGATTTTTTTTTAAGCTGATGTGAGTGTTGTTGTTTTTTAATGAATATATGAACTCATTTAAAATATAGATTCAGGTGGATAGCCGTATTGATCTGTCATAGTCATAATAAATAACAAACTGAAAGATGAAAAAAAATCTTTTTTAATAATTCCAGTGGCACCTTAAAGATCAACTAAATATAAGCTTTCAAGGTATGAGCTTTCGTGTGTAATACGCACTTCATCAGATACTCTGAAGCAGAGATCGCTTCAGCCTTATAACTTTTTGATGACTGTTATGGCAGTTGGTTCCACGGGGAAGGGCAAGGGATTTTAAAAGGATAGATGACCAAAATTAGCTTTAGTATGTATAATGGGACATGAATCCAATATCTCTATTCAGACCAGGTCTCTCCATAGTTTTTAGTTTGGTAATGAGTTGTAATTCAGCAACTTCTCTTTCAAGTTCTAGTTACACGTAGGTAGCTGTGTTGGTCTGCCGTAGTCGAAACAAAATAAAATAAATAAAATAAAATTTAAAAATTCCAGTAGCACCTTAAGTTAGTTACTGGTATGAGCTTATCTGAAGAAGTGTGCATGCACACGAAAGCTCATACCAATAACTAACTTAGTTGGTCTCTATGGTGCTACAGGAAGGATTTTTTATTTTATTTAATTTTGTTTCTCTTTCAAGTGTATTTCTAAAATTCTTTTGCAATAAGACAGCCATTCTAAGATCATTTAAAATATGAAGGTGAAGCAAAAATACAAGATAAACTTTCATTCGTCGTTGGGCACATACCAACTAATATTTATTAAAATACCGGTACATAACGGGGGCTCCTCTTTCGGCCTCCGTTCCGCACGAGTGGCCATTCGCCATTTCACTCGGTAGAGGGAGCCCTTGTTGTCAGAACGGCGTCGGAGTCTCTTTTCTTAGACTCTCCTTCTCTTTCAACTCGGCACCACCTTGGAGTTCAACCAATCACTGCTCCTCTGCATCCATCCATCCTCTCCCTTCCTCCCTCTCTCTCTCTCTTCCCCCCACTTCGCTATTACGCATGCGTTGTGTCGCCGTTGTTTAAATAGAAAAAATTAAAATACCCTGAAAGGTGCAGTCTTCATGAATCTGTAAAAATGTTCGGTTCCCATTGGCCATCGATGTGCTCCACCATGTGCGGGGCAAAACTGGTAGAATTAGCTATAGTGGAGTAAGGTTTAAGAGGGAGAGGGAAGGGAAAGAGAAATCTGGAGACAGAAGTGCAGTGCTCTCAAATATGCGCCGAGGACCATTTTTTGTTGTTCGATTTTTTTAAAAAACAATAAAATACTATCCATATACGCCTTTCCGCCCCACATTGCCCCGCATGCTGAAAAAGCCGATTGAGAACCGGAAGTGAAGACAGCCTAACTAGATGAAACTCGTGGGCTTTTTATGCCTTCCCCTCCGACGGGAAACCTTTGCCGCATGCGCCGTGCAGTCGGGCAGCTTAATCTTTCCCGTCAGCCCCTGCGCGTTATAAATGCCCACGTCGTGCGTCCCACATTCTTTTCTAGACGCGTGGGAAGAAGAGGTAAGTGGTGGAGCTGCTGCCTTCGCCTTAAAAGAGCGGGAAGCGCGGCATTTTAATCTCACAAGAAGCAATAGGGAATGTAATAACTATTAGTGATTGCTTTTATAATTGCACCGTTTTTATATCTTAATAAATGAAAGAAACGGTGGAAGATGCAGTGATGAGATTTTCCCCTATTGACTTTCCGCTCGTTTCTTGAATTTAAACGTTGAAGGAGCGCCGTTGTTGCAGTTAGTGCCACAGAAAACTATCCAAAAGATTATAAAATAAATTCTTGGGAGGGGGAGAGTTCCTGCACCTTGAAAGTGTGTGGCCCAGGCAAAAATCCAACAGGCACTGCAAGTCGGTGTGTTTTGGAGGACAGCAGCCGCCATAGCTCGCAATTTGTTTTTGAGGTCTGGAAAGAATGGTGCCCTACAGCAACCCTTTCTCTGCTTGCAGTGCACTTCCCTGGTTTCTATCTGGGAATCCTCTTTGGTCGGGAAGAAAGCCATGACCAGCCTCATTTCTACCCGTTTGCTTGGGTGTCTTTGTGAAGTTCTGTTAAACTTGCAAGGCAAATTGGATCTTGCCTACCTCTCTAAAAAGTTTTATTGTTTAATTAGTTTCTCACCTTTCCTAAGGAGCTCAAGGTGGTGTACAAGGTTCCCCCCTCTTACCGTTTCATCCTCACAACAAGCCTCATGCTTGTTGGTTTATATTTATTGAACCACTAAAAACCTGCACTAGCATGATCCTATGCTTGATTCGAAAACCTTTTTTTTCTGCTTACTAGTGACCTCTTAACAGTGTACACATGTGCATATCAAGGTGCTGATGGGTGGGAGAAACCTTTCAACGTTGATCATTTCAAGCAAGATTGTATTTAAAAACTGAGACACTGAAGCATTTAATCTGCAAGAATACAGACTTGCCTAACAGTTTTTCTGATCTTTGTAATGCTTTAAAGCTTACCTGAAACCAAGCATTTATAAACAAATGCAAGTTTGGGCATAAATGTTTAGGCAATGTATTATTGGATGCTAGGCTGTACCTTGCTTGGTGCCAATGGTACTGTCTGAAGCTGTATTTCATGCAGTTACAAGACACTAATGCACACTTTTGTTCTTTGTGGTCAGAAAGCCTTGAGAACCTCATTAGATGCTGCTGAAGAGGGCATTTATTTGATCCACAGGTGAACATGTCCAGTTTGGGAATGCAAGGTATTGGAGAATTTTTTTCTGTTTAATCTTAATCAGCAAATTACTACCTGAACTAGCCTTCATCAACCTAGTGCACTCCAGATGTTTTGAGCTACAGCTCTTACTGGGCCCCAGTCAGCATGGCCAATAGCAAAGAATGCTTGGGGGGGTGTAATCTAGCAATACCTGAAAGGCAATTGGTTGGGAAGACTTGCAAAGATAGGAACAGCATAATTCTATACAAATGGAATATATGCAGATGTTATACTTTGGCTGTGTATATAACTTTGAAGTATGTGCTTTTCTGTAGCACTGTAGTTTAGTGGTTACTGGGAACTATGAGGGGTAGACTACAGTGCCCATAATTCTTGGGGGGGGGATGTGTTTAGAATGTATTTTGAAGGTAAAGTGTGTACACAGCCTCCTTCCCAGAGATATCTAAAGGAAAAGGTTTTTCTTTAATCTATTGAAAGTGCAAACTCCTTATGGAGCACATCACTTGTCTCCACCGCAAAAATAAAGTTCTGCTCCTTGTACTTTACCCTTAGGAGTTGGGGGCACCAGTATTTTGAGCTTACTTGGCCCTTGCTGACCTAGAGACTATAAAATGTCTAGAAATGGAGGCACTTCATGCTGTCAACCCAACGGGGATATCTGGAGAGGTTGCTCTCTCTCAGCTCTGTCCATGTGGCGTATGGGAGCGTAGGCCTTTGGGCTCTGTGACGTATAGTCCCCTTCCACACCGTTGGAGAGCAAGCTGGGCCCTTGTGGTCTGCAACCTGCATATTCCTACTGCTTCTCTGAGTCTTCGGACGGTGACTGAGGAGATAAACCATGCAGGAGACACTCCTCAAGCAAGAGCTTTGCTAATAGGGTTTTGTTTGCAATACACTTTTCAAAGACCCCGCAACAGTTTTCTCCTGATCATAAAAATTACAATCACCTTTAAAAGATATTGTGGGGGGTGGAGGGTATGGCACGTATGTGGGAGTGCAGATTTGTTCAAGGGTTGCCTGTTGTTGTTTTTTCTTGTTGGGCAAATGCCCACCCCTTTCAGAGGTCCAATTCTGAAAGATAACACTGCTTTTTTATTCTTAGTAGCAGGTATTCTGCATTTGCTATGTCATGCCGCTAGTTGTATATCATACCTGGGGCCTGAGCAAGGATGAGGGGCTGACTTCTGGGTGTGGTGAGGATCAGACTTCTGCACATCATGGACACTGGAGCTCCACAAGAGTCAACCAGGTAAAAGGGTTGCTTTGTCCTTTCAGAAGAGAGTCCTGGGATAATTATACTGGAAGCGGATATTAAGCAAGCGTTTTTCCAACATGCCAGGTGTTGCTGGGCTACAACTTTCATCATAATCTCCCATCTCAATAAACTCTGGTTTATTGGCTGAGGCTAATGGGAGTTGGAGTCCCAACAAGTATAAGGTACCACCTTGGGGCATGCTGGTATAGAGGCGAGTAACTTCTTATACTGGAGCAGGAACCGGAAAGCCACTCCAGTATCCCTGCCAAGAAAACTCCATGGACAAAGACAACAGGCATAAAAAGTTGTGCCTGGTGTGCTCTGGTCCATGGGGTCACGAAGAGTCGGACACGACTAAACAACAACAACTTCTTATACTGTAGAGGCGCTTTGCAGTTCGTCCTGCCTTCAACCAACGGGGATATCTGGAGAGGTTGCTCTCTCTCAGCTCTGTCCATGTGGCGTATGGGAGCGTAGGCCTTTGGGCTCTGTGACGTATAGTCCCCTTCCACACCGTTGGAGAGTAAGCTGGGCCCTTGTGGTCTGCAACCTGCATATTCCTACTGCTTCTCTGAGTCTTCGGACAGTGACTGAGGAGATAAACCATGCAGGAGACATTGCTTCACTTTCATAGTATTTCCTTATTGTAGCTGTTGCTTTGTGCTAGTATGGTATTGTTAAAAAGTTGAATTTAATCCAGTGCTGCTTAAACCTTTGGGAGTGAGGTCCACTTATAAACATAATTTACTTAGGAACATAGGAAGCTGCCTTATACTGAATTAGATCATTGGTCCATCAAGTTCAATGCTGTCTACACTGACTGGCAGTGGCTCCCCATGGATTCAGGCAGGGGTCATTCCCAATCCTACTTGGAGATGCCAAGGATTGAACCTGGAACCATCTGCATGCAAAACAGATCATCTACCACTGAGCTGTGCCCCTTCTATTATTAGTTATTGAACTTATAAGTAGCCTGTTGCACAAAGGTTTCCAGGCCACTAGCAATATTTTAAGAGCTTAAGTAAAAAAGAGTTATTATAAAATGACGTGCAATTCATAGAAATCAACCAGAACGTGTTCCTCCCCCCAATAACAACAGCAAAAAGCTATGGTGGCACAAGCAGCTAAGCTTTGTAGTCCTACCTCCTCTCGCTGAAAAAGAAAATAAGACTTTCAAGTTCAGATTTAACACTGGGCAATAGCATATTATATATTCCATGTTTTAATCAGCGTGTTGGTTTTGGAGTACATATTGCTTATATAAATAGAATTTAATATGCAAGGGGTCAGTAACCAAGTTGCTCCAAGAGGATCCACGACAGAAGTGCTGTGGGTCCATCATGAATTTCCTTTAAAATCCCTAGAAATTTGGGGGCGGGGGGAGGAGAAATGACAGACACATACTCATTGTATGACCAGCCCAGGGGTATATTGGGACTCCCAGTTTGAGAAGCAGCTATCTTAACTATTGTACAATTCTGTTCTTCCCATTCCAGTACGCTTGAAAGTTCATTGCATGCTGTTGGAATGGCCATATAATCCTGAAATGGGTATGTACAGCAGTTCTCACTCTCAAGGTATTCATGAGAATAATTACTTTTTCCTATTTGCCTTTTGTGGGCCAGGGTGTGTGTCGTTAAGACCACTGTGGGGTGTTGTCTTTATAAACTCCACTTTGAAAATAATGCTGTACTCTTAGGTTTAGACTAAAAGTGCATTAAAATATAAAATGCTGTCTAGGTATAAGTAATTCTGAAAGGGCATCAGCTGTGTTGGACTACAGTGCCCATTATTCCAGGCCGTTGCTGTCAACCCAACGGGGATATCTGGAGAGGTTGCTCTCTCTCAGCTCTGTCCATGTGGCGTATGGGAGCGTAGACCTTTGGGCTCTGTGACGTATAGTCCCCTTCCACACCGTTGGAGAGCAAGCTGGGCCCTTGTGGTCTGCAACCTTCATATTCCTACTGCTTCTCTGAGTCTTTGGACGGTGACTGAGGAGATAAACCATGCAGGAGACACTCCTCAAGCAAGAGCTTTGCTAATGGGGTTTTGTTTTCAATACACCTTTCAAAGAGACTGCAACAGTTTTCTCCTGATCATAAAAAATACAATCATTTTTAAATGATATTGTGGGGGGTATGGCATGTATGTGGGAGTGCAGATTTATTCAGGGGTTGTCTGTTGTTGTTTTTTCTTGTTGGGCAAATGCCCTCCGCTTTCAGAGGTCCAATTCTGAAAGATAACTCTGGTTTTTTATTCTTAGTAGCAGGTATTCTGCATTTGCTATGTCATGCCGCTAGTTGTATATCATACCTGGGTCCTGAGCAAGGATGAGGGGCTGACTTCTGGGTGTGGTGAGGATCAGACGTCTGCACATCATGGACACTGGAGCCCCACAAGAGTCAACCAGGTAAAAGGGTTGCTTTGTCCTTCCAGAAGAGAGTTTGCTAATGTCCTGCTGGCCTGCATACAACAGTCTTTGTAGTAGCTTGAGATCATTATACTGGAAGCGGATATTAAGCAAGCATTTTTCCAACATGCCAGGTGTTGCTGGGCTACAACTTTCATCATAATCTCCCATCTCAATAAACTGGTTTATTGGCTGAGGCTAATGGGAGTTGGAGTCCCAACAGATATAAGGCAAGAACCACCTTGGGGCATGCTGGTATAGAGGCTAGTAACTTCTTATAGAGGCACTTTGCAGTTCGTCCTGCCTTCAACCAACGGGGATATCTGGAGAGGTTGCTCTCTCTCAGCTCTGTCCATGTGGCGTATGGGAGCGTAGGCCTTTGGGCTCTGTGACGTATAGTCCCCTTCCACACCGTTGGAGAGCAAGCTGGGCCCTTGTGGTCTGCAACCTGCATATTCCTACTGCTTCTCTGAGTCTTCGGATGGTGACTGAGGAGATAAACCATGCAGGAGACATGTGCTTGTTTGCTGCTTTGTTCATAAATCCTTATTAAATCTTGTAGGGTTCCTACTGGGGGATCTGGTTGGCCACAGGATGATGGATTAGGTGGCCATTTGGCCTGATCCAACAGGGCTCTTGTGTTCAATTTTTGAGTTTTCGGTACTATGGGCATGAGGGATGTGAAAAATTAAGGCACTTAATGGCCTTGTAAGAGGCATATGCACCATGTTAATAAGCCTAAGCCAGTGTTTCCCAACCGGTGTTCCGCGGCACACTAGTGTGCCGCGAGACGTTGCCTGGTGTGCCGTGGGAGGGAGGCGGGCGAGTCGGGCGGCGAGAGGCGGGGCGACGGCGGCGAGGAGAGGCCGCCCAGCGCGGGGCTCTCGCCGTCTGGCTGCCTGCGTGGCGCTGACGTCACGGGGCTGTAACGTGCCCCACATAGGCACACGCGGGGCGGCGAGCGAGCTCCCTCCCACATCCCATCGCCGCTCGCTTCGGCCGGCCTACTGGGCTGTCGCAGGCGGAAGGCCTGCGCATGCGCGAGGTTTTCGCGCCTTCGGGATTCCCTTCATGCCTTCCTCCTCCCGGGTCCTTGAGAGCGCGGGAAGCGGCAGCGCGAGACCGGCCTTGAGCCTGGTAGGTATTGCGCTTGCCAAGGCAGTCATTTGGGAAATGAAAACTTGCAAAGCAAGCAACCAGTTCAATCTGAAGTACGTGTATGCTTAATATCCTGTATCTGAAACCTGTTCTGCCCCCTCCCCCACACTTGGTGCCATTTTCATCTACACATGCAGCAGAGTAAGTTGACCCAGAATAGTACCAATTCAGATGGCAGATGGGAGAATGACAGTGCTGAATGCTTTCCCATGTAGAACAGTCCCTGCAAATAAAAACCCAGCATATTTGGAAGAGGGCCTAACCATTACCTTCTATGCTGTTATTTTTTTTTATTTTTTTTTACATAAGTAAAAAGTGACCTTTCCCCATCTGGCATGATACAAGCCCATTCTTACAACTCAGAATTTTTTCGACTATTTCAGCTACATATGTAGAATATGCCTTCATTTGTTACTAGGCAGAAATGTAATTACCCATTTCTGATGCATGCTACAGTTTCCTGTTGTTTGCTGGCACTTACTGACCTAGAGGCATAATTGATCCTGTTATAAAATGTAGGAGAAGTGTTGTTTTAAAAAGAAAGAGCATTAGCTTTCTCCTACTGCTCAACTGGAATGCAGTACTTAGCTGGAGTTACTTCAGGCTAAAAGCCCGATTCTGGACCCAGATTTTATTAAAATATCTGCCAATGTTGTTTACATACTTTTCTAAAAAGGGCTTCATGCCCTTTAGAAAAAGGAACCCAGAATTTGCCTGGGGAAAACAGAATGCCCTTTTCAAGCACTTGTTCCCAGCAGCTTGTAATTGTTTATAGCAGTCTTCTGGTGTCTGGTAGGAGGCACCAGGTTGGGGAAAGATGGTTTAGGGGTATGTCCAAGCAGGCTTGATAGCAAAAACTGTTTCTCACAATCTTAACAGCGTATACAGCCATTAAGTGACAGTGGCCTTATTACAGTGTTTTTCAACCGCTGTTAGTGTTTTTCAACCTTTTTAGGTTTTCTGTAAACTGGGGAAGACATCCATGTTGGAAGTTCAATTCCTTGCTTAGCCATGAAGCTCAATGGAAATTGCCTTGCTCTTGCCCTCTCTAATCCAGTGTTTTTCAACCGCTGTTCCGCGGCACACTAGGGCCCTCGGGGACCTCGTGGCTTCCGCTTTTGCGTGTGCTGCCGTCACTCTTCCCGCCATTCCCATGTATAATTCGTGCCCGTAATACAGGCAGTAAAACTGTTCTGTATAACGACTACCCCGCCTCTTCCCCCCCCCATCTAAACCCATTTTTTTTTCCTTTGCAGAAATGAGCCGCTGCATTGAGCTCACACAGTATGCATGTTTTTGCCTGGCTGTGATTGGTCCGGACTCCAGCCTGGACCTATCACAGTAGGACATCATCTTCCGACTTCCTTCCCGCCCGAGCACAGAGACCAGGACTCAGCGGGAGTCGGCACTGCAGAGAGGCTGGATACTGCAGTGATGGAAAAGTTTTTGAAAAGAAAAGAACTGGACTCTGAACAAAATTTGGAGCCAGATGAGAGCCCAAGTATGAGTGGGCATGAAAAGAAAGCAAAGATGGTTAGCTCAAGCAAATTCTCTGGCACAAGGCAATATAGCGAAAGCTATATTTCATTTGGATTTACTTTCACCGGAGATGCAAACCAACCAACTCCACTGTGCGTGGTGTGTGGTGAAGAGCTAGCTAACAGTGCTATGGTCCCAAGCAAACTTAAACGCCATCTCCAAACGAAACACCCTTCGCTTCAAAACAAGTATGTGGACTATTTTGTTCGCCTGCGTGAAAACACGGAGAAACAGGCAACTTTCATGAGACAAACCTCAAAGGTAAATGAAAGAGCTCTTAAAGCTAGCTATCACGTTGCTGAACTTATAGCCAAGTCAAAAAAGTCGCACACTGTGGCAGAGACATTAATACTTCCCGCCTGCAAAGCTATTGTAGAGGAGATGCTCGGACCTGAAGCAGCTAAGGAAATAGCCAAAGTCCCTCTCTCAAACAACACAATTTCCAGATGTATTAATGACATGTCTGCAGACATTGAAAGTGTGGTTTTGGAAAAGATCCATATCAGTGAGAAATTTGCATTACAACTTGACGAGTCTACTGATATCAGTGGACATGCTCAACTCTTGGCCAATGTGCGTTTTGTTGATGGTGATGCAATTAGAGAAAACTTCTTTTTCTGCAAGGCATTGCCAGAAAAAGCAACAGGAGAAGAAATTTTTCGGGTCACATCAGAATACCTTGAACAAGGAGGACTTAAGTGGGAAAACTGCACAAGTGTCTGCACCGATGGAGCTGCAGCCATGGTTGGGCACACCAAAGGCTTTGTAAGCAGAGTGAAGGAAAGAAATCCAGATGTGATTGTTACGCATTGTTTTTTGCACCGTGAGGCCCTCGTAGCCAAGACTTTACCAGCAGACCTAGTTCATGTGTTGGATGATGTTGTGCGCATGGTAAACTTTGTAAAGTCACGACCCGTGAAAAGTCGCATATTTGCAGCTTTGTGTGAGGAGATGGGAGCGAAGCATAAAACCTTGCTGTTTCATACGGAGGTCCGGTGGTTGTCGCGTGGCAAGGTCTTGGTTCGTGTGTATGAGCTGCGGGAGGAACTTAAAGTGTTTCTGACAGATGAGAGGGCAGATTACGCAAAACTGCTTGCAAGTGATGAGTGGTGTGCAAGGCTGGCATACCTGGCAGATATATTTCATCATCTGAATGAACTGAACACACGAATGCAAGGCCGAAATGAAAACCTGCTTACAAGTACAGATAAAATAAATGGATTCCGTGCAAAGGTGCAACTCTGGCATCAACACGTGGAAAGTGGCAATCTTGAAATGTTCACACTCACCAAGCAATGGCAAGGTGTTAACACTGCTGCACTGTGTGAGATAATAGTTAAACATTTAAAAACTCTCGAGGAGAAGTTGTCATTTTATTTCTCTTCAGTCTCCACTGAATGCCTTGACTGGGTTAGGGACCCTTATAGCTCAGCATCAGTTGGTGGAAAGGACATGACTTTACAGGAGCAGGAGGAACTAGCTGAACTGAGACAAAATCGTGGTTTCAAGCTAAGATTTGCTGATCTACCTTTGGACAGTTTTTGGCTGGAAACTGCCAAGGAGTTCCCCCTTCTGGCAAACAAAGCTATTTTGACATTGCTCCCATTTTCCACTACATATCTCTGTGAGTTGTGCTTTTCAAGCATGATTGCTATAAAAACTAAATACAGAGAGAGACTGAGAGCTGTTGACGAAGAGCTACGTGTGTGTCTTTCTTCGATTCCAGCCAGAATATAAGCTTTGTGTTCAGCCAAACAGGCCCAGGTTGCGCACTGAATAAAGTATTTTATAATTTTTCATATTTCTGTTTACTTACTATTTCATAATAAAGTAATTATAAAATACTTTCTTTGTGTTTATTTGATTCCTATTAAAGAGAGTTACTTTATATATAGTCAATATAGGCACAGAGTTAATTTTTTAAACATTTTCTAATGGTGGTGTGCCTCGAGATTTTTTTCATGAAACAAGTGTGCCTTTGCCCAAAAAAGGTTGGGAAACACTGGTCTACTCTTGAGTAGGAGTAGCATTGGCTATAACAGAAAAAAAACAAAAGGTGTTGGCAGATGCACAGTATCTGATATCTTGGAATTGTTAATCACGTCAGTTTATCTAGTCTTTTGTGTTTGCCTAATTGAAGTGTGCAGTTTCTTTAGCTTACTGATTGTGGGAAGTAAACTTGAGATTTTGTTCTTTGCACACACCAGGGGGTTGCTGATTATGTGATCACCTTCCTTACATCCTGTATTGGATCACATATGGCATTTATACCCCACCCTTTAGCCAAAAACTTGGAGCAAAAATCAGTACTAAGATTATCACTTCCCTCAGGCTCACAAGTTAAAAAGGCTTGACATTTTGTGGAAAGAGGGTTGAGATAGCAAGCTCCATCACAAGCTCTTGTAAGTTCTTACAATGAAACTTTATACTGTATATTCTGGCACCTCATGCACAGATCTTACTCAAAGTAGACTTCAACTGTAGCTTGCTGTTCAAATCCTTCCCATGTAATTCCTGTGCCTATCAAATAACAGTCTGTAATTATAACAGCAAATTTCTAGAAGTTTAGTGATCAGCTTAGGGTGATCTGTACAGTATAACGGTCCTGTGACTAGGCATTTGGCTAGCCAAAGATCACCCAGTTTGTCCTCTGAAAGAAACCCAGGCCTCTTTGTGCAACATGTTAAGCAATTGCATGTAGACTTCCATGTTCAGCCAGTCGTAGTGCACTCTGGAGTTTGGTTTTATGTAAATTGCAGGTGATTGTTACTCTCCAGTTGCGAAGAAGCTAAAGCGTGAAAATTTTCCAACAGGTTCCAGGTAGCACTAAAAATGGTGTGCAAAACTTAAAAAACAGCACCATGTGACCATTGAAGGTATATTTTTAGTGCATTGTGATTGCTCAGCCTGACCTTTAACTAATCAAACAATCCATCTTTACTGGCCAGTACATGTATTCTGTGCATTGCAAAACTTTGCTTCCTGTAATTAAGTGACTCATGCTGCTGGCCTCCCAAATTACCTGTTCAAACAGCAACTGCAGCAGGCATGGGATAAGCTGAAACTGGAACAGCATCTATTTTGCATGCAAAAGGGCTGAGCTTCAATCACCCGCATCTCCAGGTAGGGCAGGGAAAGTAACCTTGGAGAGCTGTTGCCAGTCTGAATGCAAGGTAGATTGACTGTTGGTTTTGACACTAAAGCATCTTGTGTGAGACAGGAAAGCAAGTACACTCCTATAGTTCACTTTCCCAAATCCCAAGGGCATCCACTGAAGAAGAGTCCCAATACAGAGGGTTTTTTGGTGGGGTGTGTTCATTTCCTGGTTTTAAGGTTTATGTGGGAACTTTCTTCTCTAAGCCCCTTTGTAAGAGACTCGTCCCTCCCTTGCTGGAAGAAAGCCCTTGGCAAAATGAGTGGATGATTGACAAGACAGTGATTACTATGTTGGGTCCAGATGGACTCTCCCATCAGCCCCAGCTAGCATGGCCAAGAGAAAAGGGGCAGATTCCCCACCCTGTTTGGGAATCCTTCCTCCATGGCACCTGTGTTCACTCCAGCTAAATTTCTCTTCAGGGATAATTGGACTTACAGGCTTGTGTACAATGCTATATACCTTTAGAACACATTTGGAGCACTTTCCCTCTTAAGAATTCTGGGCACTGTTGTTTAAGGGTTGTTTGGGAATTGTAGCTCTGTGAGGGGTAAGCTATCTCACAGGGTTGTTTTGAGCATAAAATGGAAATTGGGTGAGCCATGTACCTTGGGTGAGCCTTCAGCTTCTTTGAAGATAGGCAGGATATAGTAGTAAAAGCAATACTATTTTTATTTTTGGTAAAAATACTACCAATAAAAGTAATGATCAGAGTTTTGTTGCGCTCCGGCCCACCTTGAAAGACACGCTGCCTAACCTGAGGCACATTGACGCTCAAGCAAGTCTCCCCGTGTCTATTTGGGCTTATTCCCAAGTAAACGTGTGCAGGACTGCAACTATACAGCCAAATTCTAGATCATGGGTAGGCAAACTAGGGCCTGGGGCCCAGATGTGGCCCTATTGCCTTCTAAATCTGGCCTGCCGATGGTCTGGGACTCAGCGTGTTTTTACATGAGTAGAATGTGTCCTTTTATTTAAAATGCATCTCTGGATTATTTGTGGGGCATAGGAATTCGTTCATAATTTTTTTCAAAATATAGTCCGGTCCCCCACAAGGTCTGAGGGACAGGGGACTGGCCCCCTGCTAAAAAAGTTTGCTGACCCCTGTCTAGGTACTCTGTAGTGTTCACTTACTCCTCCAGCTAAGTGTAACTAGGATCGTGGCCTGAAAAAGAGCCCACTTTATTAAGATCATTCCATGCGTACGTGTATTCAGGCTTCAGCCAAATGATCAGTGATCTACCCTCTGAAGCAGCGTCCGGGCTTTACCTCTCCTATTTAACCTCAGCCTTGTTCGAATGGTTGGGGGATGGGATCTCCTTTCCCTGCTTTGCAGCGGCCGATAGTTGGCGCTCCAGAGTAAATTTTCTCTGTTCCTCCTTTCTTGCCAGCCAATGGTATCTGCGCCGGGGCGCCTCAGTGCGCATGCTCGAACGGATAAGGACGCCAGGGGAGGGAGGGAGGGGGCAAGGCAGAGGGAGTGCTTGTGGGGAAGAGGAACAGAAGACTTGTCGGACTTGGGAGTGGGGAAGCGAATATAAGGTAAGTAACGAGGTGAGTCTGCCGCCGCCGACAGCAGCAACATGGCGGAACGGGGGTTGTCCAGGTCGGTCGGTTGCGGTGGGGTGAGAAAGAGAACCAGCCCGGGTTATGTGCACTTCGCCCCCTTTGAATCTCGTCTTAAGTTCTGGAAGGGCCCGACCGGCCTCGTCCCCACGTGGCTTGAGAGCGGCGTGGCGGGCGGAATGGCTGGTGTCTGAACGTTCTACGGATGGAACGCGAAGTTGCAGGCTCGCGTTCCAAAGCCGGGTGGCGAGCGCGCGCGCTCCCTCCTGGGAGAACGTTTCCTGGGAGAAGGAGAAAGTCGGAGGTTCTCTCTCCCTCCCTCTCTCCTCGGGCGGCTTGCAACAGCGGGAAAGGAAGGGAGCGTCAGCGCGGGAAATTCAAATCCAGGCAGCTTCCTTGAGAGTTGCGGGAAAGGGAAATAGAAGGGGAGTTGGCGCGGGGGTGGGGTGGGGGCACGGCGGTAGAACATGATAGAGGAGCGTAAAATGATCCGCGGGTGGAGAAAGCGGGCAGAGGTGTTTTTCTCCCTGGTAGTACTGGGACCAGAGGCCATCCCATAAACAGGAAGGTGGGTGCGTGGGTGGGAGATTCGGGACAGCTGGATTTCTTGCACTGGCATCTGGTGGTGGAACTGAGTAGTTGAATCTGGCCCGAAGGCTCTTTCTTCACGTGTCATGTGTCAGTCAGAAGAGATAATACTCAGACTGCATTCACCCAGTTCTCAGGTGCATCTTACTTTTCCTTCTCAAATATACCCTACAGTTCCTTCTTTTTTGACCAAGTAAGTCCAGGGAGCCTTCTCACAAACACAACCTAACATTGTTTGAACAACAGGACGCTTCACTGATACATTTTAGTAGTTGCAATATAATGATAATGTTTTACATTTATTTTCTAGTTTATAAACCACTTTTTCTTCTGTCTCTCTTTTTTAAAAAGCGTATAAGGGTGTTGGGTGTTCAAAGCACTTCACTTCTGCTTTCTCTGTAATCCTCTCAACAACCCTGTTAGGTAGGCCAGTATTGATTTCCCTGTTTTGTAGTCCAGGGATTTGTGACTGAGAGGGATTAGCGAGGTATCTGGGTCTCTTTGGTTGCTGCAGAGAGAGAAAAACTGAACTCTGTGTCTTTTCTGATCTGGAGCTTGGCTTCTTAGCTGCCTTTTGCCTATCAGCACAACTGGTTTATTTTGCAATCAGGGCTCATCTTTGTTTCCAGACAGCCTCTCATGCCCTCAGCTGTGCAACAGGTGGAACTATTGAACAGGTGTGGTGTTCATTGGCAGAGAAGTGGAATGCAGTTGTGCAAGGTCCCTTCAACTCTACATTTCTGTGATTCTAATTGCTGTGTGAGCATCTACTGCAGGGTTGTTGTGGTTGTGTTTTTTTTTTTTTAAAAAATAGTTAGTGACAAGCCACCCAGCTGTCCTCTGCATGCCTCTTGATATTCCCTTTGCAGAACTACAGTTCCCAAGAGTTCACCGGGAAGAGGCATTTATTGTTAAACCACTCTAAGAATTGTAGGTCTGTATGTGTGTGGTGGGTGGTGTAAACCACTGAGCCTAGGGCTTGCTGATCGGAAGGTTGGCGGTTCGAATCCCTGTGACGGGGTGAGCTCCCGTTGCTCAGTCCCTGCTCCTGCCAACCTAGCAGTTTGAAAGCACGTCAAAGTGCAAGTAGATAAATAGGTACCGTTCTGGCGGGAAGGTAAACGGCGTTTCCGTGCACTGCTCTGGTTTTGCCAGAAGTGGCTTAGTCATGCTGGCCACATGACCTGGAAAAACTGTCTGCGGACAAACGTCGGCTCCCTCGGCCAGTAAAGCGAGATGAGCGCCACAACCCCAGAGTATACCTTTTTATATGTGTGTTTGTATGTCCTAACAACTCTCAGCACCCATAACAGACTGTAGTTCCCAGGATTCTTTGGGGAAAACCATGGCGGTTTTTTTTTTTAAAATAAAGTTTTATTGGTTTTTCAACATAGATTAAAGACAAAACAATACACAATACAAAAACAAACAATACATATAAACACATATAATTTCAGAACCTTTTTTTCATAAACCCTACTTCCCTGACCTCCCCATGCCTCCCCTTTTCTGCATCCCTGTTTTAAAATTTCTTCAGCAACCCCTCGCATCAATTAACTGATTACTCATTTTCTTTTTTCCCTTCTTCTCTTACTTAATCAATTACAGCTGTAATTCTATTTTTTCCCTTTCCCTTGACATTTTAGCACTCATTAATTTTACAACAGTTCTTAAGATATACTTTAAATTTCTTCCAATCTTCTTCCACTGTCTCTTTTCCTTGGTCACGGATTCTGCCAGTCATCTCCGCCAGTCCCATATAGTCGATCACCTTTGTCTGCCATTCTTCCAGTGTGGGTAGTTCTTGTGTCTTCCAATACTTTGCTAAAAGAATCCTTGCTGCTGTGGTAGCATACATGAAAAACGTCCTATCCTTCCTTGACACCAATTGGCCGACCATGCCCAGGAGAAAAGCTTCTGGTTTCTTATGAAAGGTACATTTAAGGACCTTCTTAATTTCATTATAGATCATTTCCCAGAAGGCCTTAATCCTCGGGCACGTCCACCAAAGGTGGTAGAAGGTTCCTTCAGTCTCATTACATTTCCAGCATTTATTATTGGGCAAAACCATGGCGGTTTAAATCAGTATGATACTGCTTTAAATGTTTAGTGCAGATGGACAATTAGATCTGGTGCAGGACAGCTTCCAGTCCATAGCAATTGTCATGGATGTTTTAGCTGAGATTCCTGCATTGCAGGGGGTTGGACTAGATGACCCTTAGGGTCCGTTCCAACTCTACAATTCTATGATGAGTAAGTGCCCAGCTTTTGTTCTCATGTTCTGCTTATAGGCTTTCCATTGGCATCTGGTTGGCCCCTTAGGGCAGCCTTTCTCAACCTGTGGGTCCTCAGATGTTGTTGAACTACAACTCCCATCACCCCTAGCTAGCAAGGCCAGAGCTCAGGGATGATGGGAGTTGTGGTCCATCAACATCTGGGGACCCACAGTTTTCCTTAGGTGAACAGGAGGTTGGAATACATAGACCTTTGATCTGATCTCAGGGGGGGGGGTCTTACTATGGTCAGTTAAGAATCATAGTTCAGTAGTAATGTACATGCTTTGTATGTTAAAGATCCCATTTTCAGTCCTTGGTATCTATAGTTAAAAGGACCAGGTAGTACTAAATGATGGAAAATACAACTTGAGACCCTGCTGCCAGTCAAAGTCTTTATACCTAGTCTCACTAGCTGTGTCTATTCCTATTGTTATTGTTATTTATTACTTTTTCCATGCTGATTAACAGCATCAGGGCGCCCTGGAGAATGGGCCAGCTTTTTGAGATCTTTCCCCCAGTCTTTGAAGACTCCACACGCTTCCTCACTTGTGTAGAAACACACAAAATTACACCCCAAAAGGCTAAAAAGGCAGCAGGGCATAGTCCTGTCTCAATGGAACCTTCCAGCTATTCTCTTTATATGGGATATTGCACTGGGAAGGGATTTAGAAGGCGCATCATACCAGGGAAATACATGCACAATACTGTACAGATGCAAACTGATTTATTAGTCTTTGGCCATTTCCCAGGGTGTTTTTGGGAATTGTAGTTTTGTGAGACTAGGCGCTAGGAATCCCAAATAAAGAATTCTCAGCAGTGGCATGAGTTTCCTGGAAAATTTTGAATTGGAAAGTTTTCTGGAAATGTCTCCTGTGCAAATTAACCTAATTTGCATTGGAACATTTTCAGTTTGCATTGTATTTATTTGTGATGCCTCTAGTGTGATAGCATGTTTATTTTACTTGTATTTAGTAAGCAAAGCGAAAAACATTGAAACAGGGAAGCTTGCCTAGTCACTGTGCCTGCATTTGACATCCATTCATTGGTACTAATGAGCTTAGGAAATGGGAAATTTCCCACGGAAAAATAAAGCCCTGGAGAAATTCCTGCCCTGTGTTGTGGATTCTCACCAGTGCACAAGGCGGCATTTCTCTGTGTTCTTTGGGGGCAGTCAGAGAAATTAAAGTGGCATAAAACTGCCCTAAATAGATTTGACCAAAGCCAAACATGAATCTAGTTTGTTTTCATGGTGCTAAAATAACCGTACCAGATTACGTGACATCTACTCTCCTGCAGAAATTGCGTTGAGGAATCTGTGTCCTTGATGTCCTGTGACACTTAGATTTATTGCAATGAATTACACACTTTTTAGAAAAAACAAGTTTTGCCATGACTGCTGAAGCCAAAGAGGCACATTCCCGTTGCAGCCAATAACAAGTCTTCAACATTGCATTACTGTTAAATTAAACAAGCGTATTCCAAAAGTTGTGCAAAGTGGCATGAGTTGCATAACTCGCTGAGTGCAGAATCTGGGTTGGTGGTGGGGCAGGGGGCTTGGCGTTAATACCAGTGAAGTTAATTTCCTGCATTGTGCAAAGTACGTCAAGTAAAATTCTTCTTTGCCAGAGCTGGCCTTTGTTCCCCTAATCCAGTTATTCACACATTACCCCTGTTCATTGGAGCTGGAAAAGTGTTCATTTAAGCATCTCCCAAAGTCAACCATGTATGATGCCTCGAAGCGTTTTCTGATCCTTCTTGTGTCCTTTTTTTTAAAAAAATGGCAATTTTCCCCTCACAAAAAAATGGCAATTTCCCCCTCTTCTGATGCTGTGCTTTTCCAGGCCAAACCATGAGAGGATGGAACAGGTGGCCCTGGGGCCAGTGAGGCACTGTGTGTATAATGATAATGATACCCCCCCTCCAAATTTCTTTGGCCAGGCACTATGGCAAATGGCCTTGGGGAGATGTGGAACAATGGAGGGCTTTGACTTTTGAATTTGCTTCGGTTAGGCTCTGAAAGTTTGGCGGCCAAAACATTTTCATCGCTATTGAGGGACAGGTTCTCCCTTTCTGCATTGGCATCATCTTCCTGGTCTCATCCAACACTTCTCTTCTTACTTAAGGATCCTATTTACCCTCTTGCTGCAGCTGTAGAACATAAGGCAGGGATGGAGTACCTGTGGGCCCCAGATGTTGCCGGACTCAAACTCCCATCCTTCTTTATCATTGGCCACACTGAATGGGGGTCCAACAACATTTGGAAGGCCCAGGTTCCCTATCTGTGATCTGCCCTTCCCTCCGGTAGCCAAATATATTTGGGGGTGGGGATTCAAAACACTTGAAGATGCCTCCTACAAACTTTCTTGGGACACATAACATATTGCTGAATATTTGTAGATGGACAGAGCAGTCTTCTATGGAAACAGAAAGGCAGATGTTTTCATCAGAGATTCACAGCTCTAGGAGCATTATGAAACACAAGGGCAGGGATCATACAAATAGAGCACGAAAACCACTGTACCTAAAAAAAGGGAGTATTTGTTTTCAGTTCAGAAAATGGCTTCAGGTGTTCCATTGAACTCACAGCTTCCCAGTTAAAATATAAGAAGCACTGTACTAAAATAATTACCCGTGAAAGAGAACTCAAGAATGCTCCAGCGAAGTAATCCTGCTCTGTGTTTTGGACCATGCCAGCCTTTCATGTTTTGACTGGGGATTTCTTCCACTTCTCCCTCTCTAACAGCACTAAAGAAACATGCCAAGAAAACGGGTGCTGGAAAAAGATGACGCTGTCAAAGTGAAGCGGACTAAAGGTGAGGTTGCGTTCCATTGGTCATTTAATTTGTATACTGCAATTCTATATCTCTTTACACAAGGTGGTTTGCAAGCCATAGAAACAACAAAATATATGAGGATCACACAGTCTATGACAATTGGATGCAAAGCGAATCATAAGAAATGTAAAGTTGGAAGAGACCCTGAGGCTCATTAGTTCAACCCCCTGAAATGCAGGAATTTCAACAGTGACAACCCCTGCTTCAAAGTCTCAAAGGAAGGAGAGTCCACAACCTCTCCTGGGTGTCTGTTCCACTGTCGAACAGGTCTTAACCGTCAGAAAGTTCTTCCTGATGTGTATTCAGAATCTCCTTTCTTGTAACTTGAATCTATTGGGATCTCACCCAATAGTTCATTAAGCTTTTTGAAATAAGTCATAATAATAATAAATGACTACAGGCCACTCCCCATTTACTCATGTTCTGTTTGTGTGCAGTGCCGGGCACCCAGAAATGGTACCTGGAAAGGGGGAGCACCTGGTCAACCAAGCATGAGCCAGAGGGACAGTGGGGCTTGGTTGACCAGCTCACTAAGCATCCGGTTTGCGAGGAGACCCTCCGAGGAGCCTGAAGACGGCATCCTCTTTGGGCTCTGGGGAGGGTCTTTGCACGAGCAGGAGGATCAGCAGGGCTTCCACATCTGATGCACAGGGAAGTGGCTGATGTTGCTGCGCTACCTTGCATGTCAGCTGTTAAGTTGGGAGGCTAAGGAGTCCCACAAAGCTCCTCTGCCCCTCTGGTTCAGGAGGAGATCCTCACCAGAGTCTGACGAGAACCTTTTCAGACTCTAGTATGGGTCTGTTCCCGACCCAGGGGGCTCTCCAGGGTGCTTGGCATTTTTCTGCAATTATGTGCATGGGTGCCTGGAACGTAACCCCCGCGTAAAGGGGGAGTCCCCTGTCTTGGCCTGTCCACGCCAATCTGCTGAGAGCCTTCTCTGCCACCCACCCACTTTGTACCGTCGGAGGCTGCTGTGGGTTGCAACTGCTGTCATGTGCAATTCTTGTACCCTTCAAAGCTCATGAAAGCCTGTAACTGATGTCAGTATGTGGAGTAGCCATGTTTGTTTAAGACCCCATCAGCACCATGACATGTTATGATGCAGTCATGCCTTCCCTGAAGGAATCCTGGGAAATGAGGTTTGGTAAGGGTGCTGTTAGTTGTCTGTTGTCCTCTAGATGTTGGCTGCAGCTCCCAGCAGTTCTGGCTATTTACCATACTGGCTGGGGTTTGGATGGGAGTTGGAGCCCAATGTCAGGAGGGCCCTACATTGGCTAGTCTTGGAACGGTTGGGTCCTGAGCTGAGAGCTTCCTGATTGGATTTGGGTGGTCATGTGATACTTCTTCGCTTGCCCCTGCCCCATGTATTCCATTTCTGACTCCTCCTCATGGTTCCTCTCCAGTCAGCCATCAGTCGCACCAGACGGAGCCCGGACTGGTTCTGACCTTGGGGCAGGGCGACCTTGGGCAATTGGGCCTCGGACCGGACGTCTTGGCGCGGAAGAGGCCTGCCCTGCTGCAGCTCCCCGAGAAGATCATCCAGGCTGAAGCGGGAGGGGTTCACACGGTGTGCCTCAGTGAAACAGGCCAAGTGAGTCTCATTCTCCCTTCGCCACCTGCGTCGTAACCATTTCCATTCCTTTAATAGTGCTTGCAAACCCCCAAAGCATTGTAGTGGGGGAAACCTCAGGCCCAGAGGCCAAAAAAGACCCTCTATGCCTCTGTCTGGCCCTTGTGAAACTCTTTAGGCCATGCCCCTTCCCCACACCCTTTTTTTGTCCCTTCTTTGCATCCCAAGTAGTTTTGCCTGGCTGTAACTTGATTTTGAACTCAGAAAAATGCCAGGATGGAGGTGTGTGTAGAAACCAGCCTCGTGGAGGGTGTGAAGCAAAACCTAGGGAAAGTGTCCGCCTGGGAACAGTCCCAAGGCCTGGAGTGACGCATGTGGTCCCTGGGCCTGAAGTTCCCCACCCCTGTGCCAACGAGACAGGCGGTGGTGATGAAGACATGGTGACGACCTACTTGTGAGTCCTGCCCCTACTGAAGACCAGCGGCTCAAGCTGCTTTGCAGATGCAGCAGGGTTCCCTGCTTCTGGTTGAAAGTTTGTCACACTGTCTCAGCCCTCCATCTGAAATAACGGGCCCTTGGATTTCCTCTTGGTTTCCCTTTCCACAGTGTAGCCCTTTTTGACCACAACTGTGTTGGCAGCAAGCACCATAGATGGCTTTAAAATGGGGAAGCTGCCTCATTCTGAGCCAGGCCATTGGTCCCTCTTGCTTAGTATTGTCAACACTGACTGACAGTGGCTTTCCAGGACTGCCTGGAGATGCCTGGGATTGAACCTTGGACCTTCTGCATGCAAGGCTGATGCTCTACCACTGAGCTATGGCCCTCCCTATAGACAGTCATGGGAAATGGCTGCTAGTCATGGTAGCTCTGAGTTACCAGTTGCTGGCCTTTAATCTCCTCCATGTGGGTTTGCCAGAGACATCTGCCACTGTGGAAATCAGGATGTGCCTGGACTTGATCTGCCTTTGGTCTGGCCCAGCAAGACGATTTCTTACGTTTCCTCCTGTTTTGCAGATTTACACTTTTGGTTGCAACGACGAGGGTGCCTTGGGGAGGGACACTTCAGAGGAGGGGTCCGACTTTTTGCCGGGACTTGTTGATCTGAAGGAGAAGGTGGTGCAGGTTTCTGCTGGGGACAGCCACACGGCGGCACTGACAGACGACGGGCGTGTCTTCATCTGGGGAGCTTTCCGGGTATGTTGCCTGCCTTGCTTTGGAGGAATAAAGGCTTATTCAACCCCTCTGTTCTGGATTGCCAGCTAAACCTTTCTCTTTGTGCATCTGCCTCTACTCAGGATGAAAATGGAGTCATTGGTTTACTTGCTCCTTTGAAGGGCGGAGAGCAGTTGGAGTCTTCCAGTGGCAGTGCTTTTCCTGTGGAGCTGCAGTTGGATGTGCCAGTCGTTAAAATTGCCTCAGGTGAGTCACAGAGGCCTGGTTTGCATATCACACTAAACCATGGTTTTTTTAACAGGGAGTTGTCCTTCAGGCAGTCAAACAAACCATGACCTGTTGCTCCAAAGTTTTTGTCTGCCAACTGTTCTTGCCCTATGCCTTGGTCAGTGTGTGAGGTTCTAGTTCATAAGTTTATTGTTCGAGCCAAAGGCCATGACAAACATGTATGAGACAATTGTATTATTAAAGATAATACAGAACATACATCTATAATATAAAAATTTCTTGTAGACTGTATATATATGACTGCCAAGTTCCTGAGCAATACAACACAATTTCCCTTTTGCATCTCTTGACAGCTCCAATTCTAATATTATTTTACCTTTTAAAAATCCCAAATTGCCTTAGGCTGAATTTTCCTATCCGCTTTGCATTGACTGTCAAACCAGCTAAGGTGTGTTGATTGTGTGTAGACTGGGGTGAGGTGGTCAAAGAAACTATGCTTAAGGATTAGTGCTGGGTTTGCACATAACACAAAGCCATAGATAAAACAAGTCAAGGTTTGTAAGCCAACAGCAAACCATGACTTCAGACTGAAGTTGGTTGGCAGTAAACAGACCATCGTTAAGTTGCTGGGCAGGGCTCCACATAACACTAAGGCATAGTTATATAAGCCCTGGTTTTGTGTTGTGTGTGAACCTGGCCAGTGAGTGATGCACAGCAAACATTTCCCCCTATGCAAACTGGTGTGTTGACTTTCCAGTGTCAAATTTTTACTTCCTTTAAAGCCCAAACCTCCTGTATAAGAGACTGAAGCGGTTATCTCAAGTTGATAGCTTTGGGTGGTAGTAAAGAGGACATTTTCCTTGTTCTCCCGTGTTCCTCCTTGATGTAATTTCCTGTGCGGTCTCCCATAGGTGGGATATCAGGTATCTAATTCAACCACAGAAGAATGTCCCAGTCTCCCACCCAAGCAATCAAAACCATGCTTTGGAAACCTAATTGCTTGGTGTGGGATTAAAGAACCAGCTCATCACAGATGGGGTAGTTTTATGCCTCTGCTTTCGCTTCTCAGGGAGCCATCACTTGGCATTAGTGTCCATGGCGGGAGGACTTTACACTTGTGGTTGCGGAGACAACGGCCAACTGGGGCGAGTCCCCCAAGTCTTCACTGCCAGAGGAGGAAGAAAAGGATTGGGTGAGTTTATTGGGATCAGATTCATTCTGTTGCTTTGGAGTGGTCTGAGGGTGGTAGTGACCAGTGATAAGGGTTTTCTGGAAAATCTTGAATCGGGAAAACTTTTTTCCGATTGGAAAAAAAATCTATGCAATTTAGGGTAAAAATAGAATTTAAAAAATGCCCTGTTGTTGTCCCCCCCAAAAAAAAAATTTCCCTCTGAGAATTTGCATTGGAAAAATTTCTGATGCTCTCCAGATTTTCCTGGACTCCAACTCCTGTCATCCATGACCATTGGACCAAACTGGCTGAAACTGATGGAAGTTGGAGTCCAATAGGCTCTGTAGGGCACTAGCCTGGCTGCCTCTGCTCTAGAGAGTGATCTAGTTTCGCACATGCATTTCACTTGTATTTCGGAACTCAAGCAAAACAGTTTGACAGTGCCAAGCTTGCCCAATAATACTTCATTTGCATTTTGAATCTGTTCATAGTTGTAAATGAACACGTGGAAAAACAAGGCGCTGGGACATTTCTTGCCCCGCGTCACTGGTGATGATGGAGAGGGGGGCATGTTGAGAGTGGATTGGGGCAGTGAGAGAGAGTGTTGAAGTAACAGTCATTAACTCTCAGCCGAAAGCTGAGTCCAGCTGGTGAGGAGTCGTCTCCCCCTCTCTCACGATCTCCCCTCCCCCAGTCTCCTAGAATCAGAAGAGGCGTGAAGAGGGTGGAGAAGTTGGCTTCACACAGGCACAGTCTCAGGAGGGGACTTAGGCAGCTGTGGAAAGGCAGGGGACCTTCAGTCTTAGCAACTGCTTCATGGGGACAAGACCTGCCGGAGATGAGTTCCTGTGCTTATTTGGCCTGACACTCCTGTTTTTGCCAATAAAGAGTTACCGTATTTTTCCGTGTATAAGACACCCTTGTGTATAAGACAACCCCTATTTTTTAAACCCAAAATTAATAAATTAAGTTATTTAGCTTTTTTGGGGGGTGGGGGAGGTCGCCAATTGCTCACCCGCCTGCCCAACACTGCCGATCGCTTGTCACAGCCACTGCCGATCGCACACCTCGCTGCAGCCGCCAATTGTCTGCCCGCTTGCTGCCACCAACAGCCCACCTGCCCACTTGCCACAGCCGCCAATCACCTGCCCAACTGCCACAGCCAATCGCAAGCTGGCCTTACCACAGCCACCAATCATCTGCCCAATTGCTGCTGCCAATCTCCTGCTTGCTGCTGCCATTAATCGCACGTCCCCCCTCTGCATTCACTATCCATGTATAAGACGACACCCAATATTTGCCTTTTTTTTTTTTTTTTAGCAAAAGGCATAGTCTTATACACGAAAAAATACGGTAACTCCAACTTGGTGTCATTTACTGCTGTCATGCTCCTGTCACAGGCTTGGCAAGAATCTTTGGGGGCCAAGGTAGAGAGCTTTGGTCTTCTTCCCTGCCCCAGTTTCCCCACACCTGCTATACAGGGATGGCCTTAACGGGAGGGGACCCAGGCAGGAGACCTTTGAGATTTCCCATAAGGGAGCCTACATTATATTCCAGAAGGAAGGCTTGGCCACCCAGGGCATCTTTGTGCTGGGTGGCTTCTTCCTTCCTTCTACCAACCCACCCCCCAATCCTCCTAAGCATTCCTCCTCCCGCCACTTCTCTTCCAGAACGGCTGCTGCTCCCACAAGCTGTCGCTATCAAGCAGAGAGGTTGCAAGACCAAGGGGCAGATCCGGGACGTCTTCTGCGGTTCTTACTCCACCATCGCCATCACCCAGGAGGGCCATGTCATTGGGTTCGGCCTCTCCAATTACTACCAGCTGGGTGAGTTGGCCACCTGTGTGCTGCCGTCCAGGCTCAGAAGGAGCCAAGTGGACTTGGTGGGAGCGGGAGCTGTTTTTCGAGGGTCTTCCAAAACGTGCCAAATTCGCGGGAGGGAAGGTGGGGTCGGCTTGGTTGCCCCTCTTTTGCCAAGGGAAAAGGGAGCAGCTCCCAGCACCTGGATTGCACCACAGAGGAAGAACATGCAGCAACCTTTCCCACAATCAATGTCCTCAATGGCAGATGCGGTGATGGCTGGTGCCCCTTGGGTGGGAAACTGGGTGACCAGCACACAGCTGGTGGAGGTCAATGGCGCCCTGTCCTGTGTGCCTTAATGGATCAGCCTCCGCTGCATAGATCTGTATCCTGCAAGCCCTGTAGGGCTTTCCCCTTCTTCCTGTACTGTTTGCCCATTGCTGCTGAAGCAAATTTTTATCTTGCTGTACCCAAATTTGCTACTGCCCCCGTGGCCATTGCAGTTGCGCCCTCCTCCCTTCAGCCTGCCAAACAGGTGGTTGGTGGAAACGACGTCTCTCTGCTGGGGTTTGCCTTTTCCTCCACCTGAGCAGAAAAAAACACTTTGAAAACGAAGATGCCCCTTGCTGTGTGAGTACGGATATCTCCCTCCCTCCCTCCCTTTCATAACCCGGAGAAAACAGTAACACCATGAAACACCTTAGCCTTTTAAAAAAAGGAAAGGGTTTTTGTGGTCCCCTCCTTTTTTTAAACAGAAGGGAGTACAGGCGGCTCCCAGCTTACACAGGGGTTACGTTCCGTGGATTGCGCTTAAAGTCAAATTTTGTATAGTCAAAACACATGGGGTGCAATGGCGGATATGGATTGCCAAACATATTTCCCCTGGGTGCCTGCCCCCTTTTTAATTAAAAAAAGGTCAAGCACCTGCCTTTTTGGCCCTTACAGAATGTGTCTGGATAGATTTTGTTGATTTTATTTATCTTTACATGAGCAATATACAATCCGCTCTCATGGTTTTAAAACAGTTTTCTCTTCTCTACATTTAAAGAGAATTCACGTGCAGATTTCCATAGGTTTTCCCAGATATCCAGTGGGACTTTCCCCCTCGTTGCTGGACCCATTTCACGAAATAATCGTTGATTTGCTACAGTTCAGTTTCCCTACTTGACCAAAAGTGAATAGATTTTTGCTCTGGGGTTTCTGCCTTGAAACTTGCTTTTAACTTCTGAGTATGAAGTGACCAATCCCTTAATTACAAGATCTTGAACCCTGATTAGATTCTTCTTCCATGTTTGGAAACCCATCCTTCCCCCCCCCCCCCTTTAATCCTGTGTAAAGGTCTAAAAATGATGGACTTGGGCCCAAGACGCAATATTGCTTTTCAAAGGGTTTTTCTCTTCCTGCTGCGCTGGAAGAAGGGTCTTCCTTTCTTCAGTCTCGGCTAAGAGAGAGACTTCAAAAGTGTCCATGTGTGCTGCTGCTATAGCCCTTGGAGACAAAAGGTTGCCCACACCAGTCTCAGATCATTCTAGTCTAACTTGGTGGCAACCTCTGTAAGCTTGGGGCTAAGATTTTGTCGAAATGTGTTGAGATTTAAACCTCCAAAATGCCAGGTTGAATTTTTCAAGTCCTCTTTCTCTCCCATAAGTATACATTACACATTATTAACTGGCTTGGGGTTTCTTGCTTATCTCCCAGGATCACAAGGAATTGACACCTACTATTCGCCAAAGGTTCTGACAGCGTTCAAGAACTCCACCAGATCCTGGGTTGGGTTCTCAGCTGGGCAACATCACACTGTGTGTCTGGACTCAGAAGGTGAGTGGCTGCTCTTTGATGGGCTGGAGGAGAGGAACATAATACGGGCGTGGGGGAATTATGGCCCTCCAGAAGCTGTTGGACTACAGTACCCATCATCCCTGGCCACACTGGCAGGGGATGATGGGAGTTGTAGTCCAACAACATCGGGGGGGCTGCAGGCTTCCCCTCCATGACTTCAAAGGAACATAAATGCCTTCTACCAAGCGAGACTGTGGGCCCATCTAGCTCAGCAGTGTTTACACTGACTGGCAGTGGCTCTCCGGAGGTTTCAGACAAGCAAGCAAGTCTTTCCCAGCCCTTCCTGGGAATGAACCGGGGACCTTCTGCATGTATAACAGTTGCTCTGCCACTGAGCCATGGCCCCAGGGCTGCTTTAGATGATTTGGTGAAATTGGGATTGGATTTCTCAATACAGGACTCTTTTAATGCTATAATCCCACCCCCCCCCAAGTCAGAAATATATTCATTTAAGGCTTTCAAACCATCCACACTCAACACAGTCGAGTGGAAAGTAGTGTGCTTGCAAAGGCGAAGGATATTTTCCTGTTGCAATACAGTGATAGCTAAGCAACACAACCCACAGGTTAATTCACATCCAGGCAGCCCCCTCCACATTGTTGTATGGTGCAGTGCAGATAGCTGAGGATCTGTGTGGAACTACAGTGTTACCCTGGGTTACAGATGCTTCAGGTTACAGACGCCTCAGGTTTCATACTCTGCTAACCCAGAAATGGTACCTTGGGTTAAGAACTTTGCTTCAGGATGAGAACAGAAATCGTGCGGCAGTGGCACGGCGGCAGTGGGAGGCCCCATTAGCTAAAGTGGTACCTCAGGTTGGAGTAAAAGAGGAGAGAGAGAGAGAGTGTGTTGAAAGAGAGAGGAGAGAAAGTACAGTAATATCAGCGGTATTAGAATGCAGCAGTAGTTTTAGCTATAGTATGAGGGGGGCAAATTATGATAGGGTGATATGAATGTGTGTATGTGTTTCCTTTAGGGGAGGGGGGGATGGAGAGAGGGAGGAGGGAGAGAAAAGGAGAGGAGGAAGGGGAAGGGTGGGAAAAGGAAGGAGGAGAAAAGAGAGGGGAGGGAGGGAGGGTGAGCTGCTGCAATGGTATGGGGGGGAAAGTCTTATTTTAAAAGAGGGGGTGGGGGGGAAAGGGCTCCCCTCTCAAAAACAAACTGATGAACAGGCTAAAAAGGGGGGGGGTTGATTTAAAAAAATAAAAGGGATAGAGAACAAAATTGGGGATGGAAAATGAAAGGTGGAATAAAGGGAAAAAATGAGGAGGGGTGAAGAGAGAGAGGGGAGAGAAAAATAAGAAAGGGGGGAAATTGAGGGGGAGAGTATCAATAGCAATAGCAGTGATATGGGGGAAATTTTTGTTTTAAAAGAGAGTGGTGGTCGTAGCTGGGGGTGAAAGATTCCCCCCTCAAGAACAAGCCAACAAGAGCTTTAAAAAGAGAAAGAGGGAAAGAAAAGAAAAATAATTGTATGGTTTTGTTTTGTTTTTTTTAAAAATAATATTTTCCCCTAATTATTGTTATTATTTTTTGTTTGTTAAAAAGTAATTAAAAATGTACGGGTGAAAGATAAAAATGAGAATTAAAGGTAAAAAAAAATAAAAAAAATAAAAGGGGGGTTTGTCTTTAGATAGAGCTTTTTATTTTTTTTAAAAAAAGAGTAAAGTATAGGTAAAAGAGGGTAGGTAAAAGAGAGTGGAAAGTGGTACCTCAGGTTAAGAACAGTTCCAGGTTAAGAAGGGACCTCCAGAACGAATTAAGTTCTTAACCCGAGGTACCACTATATTCATGGAATGTATGAAAGGGAACCAGGCCTTATCACTCCTGTCAGGTTAAGCAACCTCTCTCCAGTGACAAAATTGTAGAGTTGGAAGGGACACCATGGGGACATCTAGGCCAACCCCTTGTAATTCAGGAATCTCAGCTAAGAGTATCCGTGACAGATGGCCATCCAGCTTCTGCTTAAAAACCTCCAAGGAAGGAGAGACCACCTTCTCCCGAGGGAGACCGTTGAACAGCTCTTCAGACATTCGGAGAGGGCTGTGGCCCAAACAGCCTTCATGCTCACGCAGTCTGGGTGATGGTCGGTCCCTCGTTGATCCCAAGCCTGCCTGTGGCGCTCTTCACTGAATCTCTCCTAACAGAGCGACGTCTCTTCTCCCACCTTCCGCAGGAACTGTGTGTAGCCTTGGCAGGGCAGACTACGGCATGTTGGGCCTGGGAGAGGGAGCGTCGGACAAGAACGCCCCCACGGCTGTCCCTGGGCTGCCGAAAGCGTCATCGGTCGCCTGTGGGGAACGGGTTGGCTTTGCGGTTACGGAAGACGGTGAGTTTGAGCCGTGCGTTGGGTTGGCAGGTGCCTAATCTGTGGCGCTGTGGGGAATAGTCTTCAAATAAAAACATCTTGGAGATCCTGTACCACAGAGAGGTTAGGCTGTCCTCAACCAGAGCCAGGGCTTTTTCAGCTGTGGCCCCCGAACTGGTGGAACGCTCTGTCACAAGAGACTAGGGCCCTGCGGGACTTGACATCTTTCCACAGGGCCTGCAAGACAGAGCTGTTCCACCAGGCCTTTGGCCAGGGCACAGCCTGACCCCCTCCGGCAATCCTCATAGAACTCTAGCCCAATGGTTGCCATTAATTTGATTTTGAATTGATTTTAGAATGAATTGATTTTAGAATGCATTTCAATTAGTTGATTATGATTTTATGTAAACTGTGTTACTTTTATTGTTGTTGGCTGCTCTGAGCCCGGCTTTGGCTGGGGAGGGCGGGTTATAAATAAGATTTTATTTATTAATTTATTATTATTATTATTAATTATTATTAATGAAGCTCTGGAGTGAGTGGCTACTCATCGGTAGTAACTTCAGTATACAGGTGGAGCTGTTGCCCTGACTCTCCATCTTGGTACCCATATTTAGTTTCTACCTGCATCAGCCGCAGGAAGCCTGTATCGCTCCAGGTGCTAGACTCCAACTCCCATCAGCCCCAGCCTGTATGGCCAACAGCCAGGGATGATGGAGGGCATTCAGCTAAGTTCTACTTAGGGTAGACCCATTGAAATGACTTTGTGTCTTGTGGGGCAATGGCAAGATGAGCAGCTTAGGATGCAGCGGTTCAGCTGATCTTAAGCCCCCAGCACTGGCATCGCTTTCTCATTCTGGCTCAACTGGGATTCAGCCGGCTGAGCTGAGGCTGGTGCAGGCTCCCCAAAAAGGGCATTTTGGATGTTCGGCAGAGGTGGGACCAGAGAGGGAGGTGCTTAGGATGGATCCCACAGGTCCTGGCAGCCTGGCCTAGAACACTTTTGAAGCCTTGTGTTGCCTCTGCCAGGCTGAGGCAGAACAGCAGCCACCACAGGGTTCTGATCTGGCCTAAAGTTAATTACGCCAGCTTCTTGCTCATAGGTTTGCCCCAGCCACTCTGGACGGCTTCCACAACACATACAAAAATATAATAAAACGTCAAACATTAAAAACTTCCTGATACAGGGGTGCCTTCAGGTGTCTTCTAAAAGTTATGTAGCTGTCGGGTGTGGGAAGGAAAACAGGGAAAAGAGAGAATGGAAGTGTCGCGAACCCTGAACAGGGAGCATACCACGCTGCAACATTTTGTTGTAGGTCTCGCTTCTCTGAGAGGAATTTGAAAAGGTTTCTGCAGTCGGCGTGGAAAGATTTGGAACTCTCCCCCCCCCCCCCCGTAAACCCATACAATGAACTCATGTATTCAGAATACTCGTGAAAATGGGAATGTAGGAAGTTGCTATTTATTAGTCCATCTAGCTCTGCATTGATATCCGAGGCTTTTGTCAGAGATGCCACAGATTGTCCCTTGGATATTCTGCAGGCAACACATGTGCTCTGCTGAAGAATCACAGAATTGTAGAGTTTGAAGGGACCCCCTGGGTCATCTAGTCCAACCCCCCGGCAATGCAGGAATCACAGCTAAAGCTGAGACCCAACGAAAGGAATCTCAGTTAAAGACTTGCAGGCCGTCCTGACTGGGATCCTTGGTGATGGAGGCTTTGAGCCCCTAAGTTGCTCAGGTCACAACAGTCTGCACTCGTGAGGTCTGTTTCTAGTCTGACCCTTGCATTTGGAACGCATCTAGGAACTTGTAGAAGGGCTCTGAGGAGTTTGGATTGCACTCTTTGAAGGGGAATGAACGAGAGGGAGGCGGGTCCAGAAAGGATCCGTAAAGGAGCTGTGCCACCGTTTTGGCTTTACAGTGGTACCTCAGGTTAAGTACTTAATTCGTTCCGGAGGTCCGTTCTTAACCTGAAACTGTTCTTAACCTGAAGCACCACTTTAGCTAATGGGGCCTCCTGCTGCTTCCGCGCCGCCAGAGCCCGATTTCTGTTCTTATCCTGAAGCAAAGTTCTTAACCTAAAGCACTATTTCTGGGTTAGCAGAGTGTGTAACCTGAAGCGTATGTAACCTGAAGCGTATGTAACCCGAGGTACCACTGTATATAATTTTAGTGCCACAGGGACATAAAAAACCCCTTGAGTTCTAAAAAATTTAAGGATAGCATTTGCAGATCTTTCTCCGGCACACCCATTTGAGGTAATATGAATTTTGTTGGACCCTGATGCCTGGACTGCCATTCCTAAATATTTATACAGTGGTACTTCGGGTTACATACGCTTCAGGTTACAGACTCCGCTAACCCAGAAATAGTACCTCAGGTTAAGAACTTTGCTTCAGGATGAGAACAGAAATTGTGCTCCGGCAGCGGTGCGGCAGCAGCAGGAGGCCCCATTAGCTAAAGTGGTGCTTCAGGTTAAGAACAGTTTCAGGTTAAGAATGGACCTCCGGAACGAAATAAGTACTTAACCTGAGGTACCACTGTAGTTCGAGACTTGTTCTAAATTTTGGCCTTGACGTTTCCAGTTTCTGAGCTTTGGTTTTTCCCCAAAAGCAAGAATTTTTGGTCTTCTGATAATTTAACTCATGAGTTCTAGAAACTTAAACCGAATATTGCATGCTGTGAATAATATGCAATGGTTATGTGAGAAGCCCTGGCATGCATTGCCCAGCCAGCTTAGGGCACAACTGCTTAGGGCTCTTTTTCACTGTCCTACTTTCCCTGTCCTCCGTAGGCCGCGCATTTGCCTGGGGCATGGGGTCTAACCTCCAGCTTGCCACTGGGGATGAAGAGGATGCCTGGAGTCCCGTTCAGATGTCTGGCCAGCAGCTGGAGAATCGCAGCGTTCTCTCGGTGACCGGCGGAGGGCAGCACACCGTCCTCCTCGTGAAGGAACGGCAGAGTTGACAAACTGTTCCTGCAGCCCCGGAGAGAACCATCCCGGGGGCAGCACTTTCCTGAGTCTTGGGGAACGGGGCTCCTGCGGAAAACTTTCTGATGTTTCTCTAGGGAGAAAAATTAGCCAATATAAAATAATTCCCTTAAGATGTTGGTATTTGTTTAAAAAATGGCTTCCCTCACTGCTCTCAAAGCTATTGATAGTCAGGACAAGGTCTTATTTAAAAAAATAAAAAAAATAAACAAGACAAGGGATAGCATTTGGCTTTGGAAACACATGGTGCTTTTGTTCCCTCTCCGCTATCTGATTTGCCCTGCTTCTGTAATCTGCAGAAGTTGTCCTGGTTTCGCCATCAAACCCGGGGCTTTCATCTCCTAGACTCTTCCCTTGCTCGCCACTGCCCCCCAGTTTTTAATGGCTCACCTCAAAAGTTACAATTTTCTCAGTTTTGGCATTCATTCCCTCTTTGGTCCTGGGAGATGGATTAACTTGTACACCCATCGAAAGCAGCCTTACCAAACCTGGTGCCCTCTGAAAGCTATGGACTCCAGCTCCCATCAGCCCCAAACCAGTGTGGTCAGGGATGATGGGAGTTGTAGTCGGGACATCTGGCAGGTACCAGTTTGGAGAAGGCTGTTTTTAAGGGGGGGGTTGCCTTTTCTTTAATCTAGGTGTAGTTTCAAGCTTCTGCCGCCACCTTCCTGGCTGAGGCAAGGCGGGCAGTTAGAAGCAGAGATGGTTCTTTAGGGTGACCCTGGTTCCTTATTTATACACGTGGACTTCTTAAAGAGTTCTCTGGCAGCTGCGAACTCCGCTGCAGAGTGACTCGGGAGCACAGGGACGGGGAATGTGCAGCCCTCCCACTGTGGTTGGATTCCCAACTCCTATCAGCCCCGGCTGACATGGCCAACAGTCAGGGATGATGGGAGTTGTAGTCCAACATCTGAAGGGTCAGAGGTTAGCCATGCCTGCCACAGACCCAAAGGACCATTGACTGTCCTTTCAAGAGCTCCAGAGTCTTTGAGTGCAGCTTCTCCCATCTGGGTGGCTGTGTGACGGTTCAGGGAAGTTGCCTGTGCCCAAATGTTTTCCCTGATTCAGAATACTTGAGGTAGAGGCATCGGTTCTATTATTTTGGATATATCCTGTAGACGGCAGCCTTTTTAAAGCTGTGTCTGTAATCCTGGGAGGTTGCAAGGGAGCTGTTGCCCTGACTCTCCATCTTGGTACCCGTATTTAGTTTCTACCTGCATCAGCCGCAGGAAGCCTGTATCGCTCCAGGTGCTAGACTCCAACTCCCATCAGCCCCAGCCTGTATGGCCAACAGCCAGGGATGATGGGAGTTGGAGTCCAACAACATTGGAGGGCCACACCCTGTGCTGAGTGTTGGCTCTGCGGGGCAGATGTAGGCTTTGGTAAAGCCAGTGGAGGAAAAATAGCCAGATTGTACCGACGCACGGATCGTGTGCGGTAATCCGACTGGGATAGAAACTTTGTGTGTCAATCTCTTCTGCCCACTTTCTTGCTGTTGTCTCCTTCAACCACGTTTTGAAGATCCTGCCTAGCCCTACGATGGGCTGTGTTTGGGAAAATGCCGAGTTGTCGGCAATATTTGGGCGCCCTGAGTATTTTTATTTTGTTTTTATTTTGTTTTTAGGAAGCAAGGGAAGCAAAAAGTGGCTTTTATTTTTTTGCAGGAGAGATGTGAATCTGTAAAAATTCTAACATTTGAAATAAATTGAGTTTTGATAACTCTTGAGTGTGCATCTTCTGCAGGGCCGTTGATTCTGTTTTTGTCGCCTGCATTTTTATTGCTTATTATACACCATCCCTAGGACCGATTTGAAGTTTAGGGGCGTGCAGCTTGCAAACGCAGCAAAAAATGGGATGCTTACTCAACTCAGCTTCAGAATAGGGTGATTGCCATATTGAAAATATTAATAAGCTGCCTTTTCAGGTAAGCCTCAAGGCTGTTTCCAGCAGCATGTAAAACATAATTCAAAACCAAAAAGATGCAATAATAATAGTAACCAGAAATAACATTGGAGCGACACTATGTGCAATAAAAAATAATCTAAAAATGGTTGTCCTGTGTAGACAAAAGCAAGGATCAGCCAGCCATGAGATGCTTCCAGCCAAAAATAAAACGAGCTGTGCAGGGAAAAAAAAAAGTTACCTTTGGAAGAGCTATAATTCTCAGTTACCTGCGAAGAGAAAGGGATTGCTAAACCACTCACAGAATTGTAGCTCTGAGGGCAATAGGGGTCTCTAAGCAAGTCTCTGTAGCCTTAACTACGGTAATTACATCTCCCAGAATTCTTTGGGGGAAGCCATGACTTCTCAAGGTGGTTCTGCCGTGCCTTAAATGTATGGTGTGAATGAGGCCCTGAAATCTTGAGCAAAATTTGGGGATATGGTATTTCTTCCTCTACACCTGCATCATATACCAGACTGATGGTATGTATGTATATACAAGTAACCACCATATCGCCTTCCCCAACCTGGAGCTCTCCAGATATTGCTGGACCACGAATCCCATTGGCCATATCATCTGGGGCTGCTGGGACTTGAAACATGTGAAAGGTGCTGGGCTTTAGGAAGGCTGGTCCACACTATAAATCAGGGTTTCCCAGCCTTGGGTCTCCAGCTGTTTTTGGACTACAACTCCCATCATGCCTAGCTAGCAAGACCAGTGGTCAGGGATGATGGGAATTGTAGTCCAAAAACAGCTGGAGGCCCAAGGTTGGGAAACTGCTATGAATGGTCCGTGTATTCACTCATTAGGAAGGAGGTGCTCTCCTGTGCATAGTGGGACTGAATAAGTGACAGGCCCAGTCCACCTGAAAGAAAGGAGGAAGATTCCTTCTATGTGGTCCAGCGGTTCTCAACCTGTGGGTCCCCAGATGTTGTTGGACTACAACTCCCATCATCCCTGAGCTCTGGCCTTGCTAGCTAGGGGGTCAGTCCTAGTATTGTCTGTAGGGAACCTCTGACCTAAGGGGCCAGATCTGGCCCAGGAAGGGTCTCCGTTAGGCCCACGAGGCTGTTTCCCCCTAAACCACACTCGCCTGCCTTGCACCAGACATATGTCATCAGGCACGGGGCTGGATAGGCTATGTGACGGTTCTGCACAGGGAACGCTGTTGCCCAGCCAATCCCTGCAGAAAGCAAGCTTTAAAATGCTGCCTGTCAGCTGATAGGCAGTGACTTCAATCCTCAGCTGATCAGTGCTGCTTTAACTACTGCTCAGGTCTTTTGCAAGCCTTACCTAGTGCTTCAAGTCCTGATTATCACCTGTTGGTATGTGTGTGTCTGTGTTTGTGTCTGTAATTGCAATAACATCCCCCTGTCCCCCCTGCAATAATGGAATGGGGCAGAATTTTTAATTAAAAATGTTCCAAAGTTGAACAAGGGTGTTCAGAGGATGCATCAGTTGAGAAAGTAAAGGGTACCATGTTTCTATAAAGCCATCTGCCTTGTTCACCCCTCTGAGCTTTCAGGGGTCTGGTAAGTTTTCCCATTAATGCTATCATCTATACTTTTTTTTTGTCTCCATAGGGATGGATGTATGTAGATTGTTCAGATTCTTCAAATTTTGAGCAATTGACAGTTTGCTAGAATTCTTTAAAAACAGTGTAATAATGAAATATACAAATACCGTTGAACTACAACTCCCATTATCTTCAGCCATTGGCCATCTTGGCTGGGAAGGGAGGACAGCAGATTCCCCAAAACATCTGGTGGGCACTAGATTGGCTGCCCCTGCTTATAAAGGCATCCATGGCAACCTGGGATTTTGATTGATTAGGAACAACCCCTGCTCTCTCTGACTCCTTGTACTAGGCTCTCTCACCCAGTGGTGTTTTGAGGCTCAGCACTGACCTGTTTTCTAGCTTTTGGTGAATCCAATACAATTCTTAGGTCTCTAAATATCCATTCCATTAGAACAAGCTTCCAGAGTGGTGTCACAATGTAGAATGTTAGGTACAGTGGTACCTCAGGTTAAGAACTTAATTTGTTCCGGAGGTCCGTTCTTAACCTGAAACTGTTCTTAACCTGAGGTACCATTTAGCTAATGGGGACTCCCACTGCTGCCGCGCTGCCGGAGCACAATTTCTGTTCTCATCCTGAAGCAAAGTTCTTAACCCGAGGTACTATTTCTGGGTTACCGGAGTCTGTAACCTGAAGCGTCTGTAACCTGAGGTACCACTGTACTACCATGCATTAGATCATCCCCGGAAGGTGACCTGAATGCTGTAACCCAACCTTTCTGGTGTTCCATTTGTGTTAAGACAAGAGGGGGAAAGTGATTTAAGAAACTCTGGGTGTCTAACCTTGATCGCTTGCCCCCATTGCAACAACACAATCTGCAGTGTGAGGATTCTGATGCACAAAGGACAAACTCCCAAAACAAGAAACTGTTTTTTTTTTTGTTTTAAAAAGAGAGTTATCACCCCTGCTTTAAATCAATTAAGCCACCAGCACAGATTTTGCCAACATTTCAGAAATGCGAAGAGAATGCGACCTGGGCAATTGCTCTCTTGAAATCTATTCAGTTGTTTAATGATGAAGTGTCCTTTATTCCACTCTGGTGTGAACAGCTGCAATAACTAAGCCCACTCCAACAACTGAGATGAACGATGGGCATATACAACTATATTCAAGAAGCTCATTGGCATAACGGGAGGATTGGCGCGCATGCAGAGTGGTGACAGTGCAGTTCCATTTTAAAAAAAGAATTCTAGACTATCGGGAAGAAAGATATGGTCTATCGTTTCCCTGGAAACCTAGCTTTCTATGTTCGGGGTTTTTTTGACATGGGGACTATGCAATATGACTCTGAAGTGGTGCAGTCCCTGGAGGGCTGTTCTGGAATGTATAGATCGGGTGTTTAGGACACAGGTGCTTAGGATTCAGATCTTCTAGAACAGGCTAAATAAATCGATCCAATTCAGACTTACTAATTAAATTTTGAGGCTATGCTCCAGCTAGATGAAGGACATTTTACGTCTCCTTGTTTTAAGCGGGAGAGTTAAGCTGCAATTCTAAATACATGTTGAACTGTGAGTTCCATGGAACTCAAGGAGACTTCTGGGTGTAAGGCTGAACTGCACAGCAGATGCTTAATGTTCGCCAATTTAAAACTTCGAAATCCTCAGTTTTGTGTAGCTTGTTTCCTGAATATATATTTTCCCAAATTTATCTCCTTCCTCCGCTCCACCAACATCATCAGTTATGAATGCTGTTAGATTTATGGGGTTTTTAAAAGGAGTGGGAGACAGGACTTGAAAACTCTTGACTTTGACATTTTGATGCACAATGCTGTTGTCTTATAACTAATTAGCAACATGTGCATTTTATTATCTAAAAGCTATTCCTTGAAGCTGAATCCCCAAAGGAAAGCATGAACACATTTTGTTTTTCCTTAATTCCATTTTTATTGATTTTCTGTTAAGTTTTACACACACACACACACACACACACACACACACGCTGGTTGTAGAAAAAAGCACGATAAGGTTAAAAATTCAAAAAAAGTTGAATTTGAATTCCGAAAATCTTCCAAAGTTGGAAGCCTCGTGAAATTCTTGCTGGATTCATGGCTCACTCTTGATTAAATCAGTAGAACTCCTTTAAATGTAATTGTAGTTTTAAAAACAGCCCACAAGATGGCAGGAGCAAGCAGCCGTTGGACAGACATGGACCACGAATAGAAAATCACATTTCTTTTTCTCCCTTTTTTCCCTAGCTAGATCAAAAGATCTGTAAAGAAATTAATGAAGCAAGGTCCAGAAAGGCTAATAGTGAGAAGCTACAGTGCTAGATTTGGAGTGGGAGCGAATGAAGCGGCGAATGTTCTGCCTTTCTTGCAAAGTGCCCTGGAAACGTAGCAGCCGTTTAAAAAGGATGCTTGGGAAAACAGCCAAGATGAGCAAAATCTTTCTTAACAAGACATTCATGGCCTTTTGCAGGGGTTTGGCTCGCTGGAGAGTATCATGATACTTGATAATCATAGGGAAATGCTTCAGACCTGAGCACGTTTGATATGGGGTCTGATTGAAATCAATGGAACAAAAAAACAGGGCTATGTTTAAGCAAGGAGACCTGGAAAATCCAACAGGTGTAGCCTTGTCTTGTTGTGGCAGCACCATCTTCATACTTGGAAGAATCACATTTGCTGAAAAAGCAAAATAATGAACATTAACACGGGTTTTGCTTAGTGCTGGAGACTGGCCTGAATAACTATTTTCTCTTTTTCCAAAGTGGGGGTTGTTGTTGTTTAGTCGTTTAGTTGTGTCCAGTGGCGTAGCGTGGGGGGTGCAGGGGGCCCCGGCCGCACCGGTCGCAACATCTGGGGGTTAGGGTTAGGGGGCGCAAATCCACGGGTTAGGGGGCGCAAATTACTTGCCTTGCCCTGGGTGCTGACAACCCACGCTACGCCACTGGTTGTGTCTGACTCTTCGTGACCCCATGGACCAGAGCACGCCAGGCACGCCTGTCTTCCACTGCCTCCTGCAGTTTGGTCAGACTCATGTTTGTAGCTTTGAGAACACTGTCCAACCATCTCGTCCTCTGCCGTCCTCTTCTCCTGGTGCCCTCCATCTTTCCCTTCATGGATCACTGCCTTGTCGTGGCAAAGGGGCTTGAATAACTCAGAGAAGCTATGAGCTATGCCGTGCAGGGCCACCCAAGATGGACAGGTCATAGTGGAGAGTTTTGACCAAACTTGATCCACCTGGAGGAGGAACTGGCAAGCCACTCCAGT